TAAATATAAACCGGGTAAGGAAAACAATGTAGCTGACGCACTATCTCGTATAAAATTGGACGATGAAGGCAATGAACTCAAATGCGCTGTATTGACTTCAAAAATTTTAGATTCCAGAGAAACAATTATTGCTGAATTGAAAGCTGATCCTGAATTTGGAAGTATCTATGCGTATTTGAAAGACCCCGAAAGCTTTGAACTCACAGATATCGATGCGATAAGAAGTAGAGCAGAAAACTATGAAATAATAGATAATTTATTTTATACGAAAGCAACAAACGAAAATTTCGAATATAAACCAGTCATCCCAGCCTTGCTTCGATTAAGCATTTTGAAGGAATTACACGACGCGAAAACAGCGGGTCATTTAGAGGTCAGAAAGACTTTAAAAAGGGTACGCGAGGCGGTATATAATTGCGGAATTATACAAAATAGTAACTGCGTATGTCATGTCCTGCAATCAATGTCAGTTAATAAATGATATTAATTACAGCCCGGCCGGGTACTTAAATAGCATTCGCGCTACATTTCCGAATGAAATTTTAGGCATAGATCTTCTTGGTCCTTTCCCCCAGAGTGAGTTAAATAAAAATCGTTTTCTTTTAGTAATTGTAGATCATTTTTCAAAATGGACAGAAATTGTTCCACTTAAACCCGCGTCAGCCAAAACAGTCGCAGATGCATTCTTACACAGATACATTTTTAAAATACGGTGCACCGATAAAAGTCATTAGCGATAACGGTAAAAAATTCGTTAGCAAAATTTTTGAAAACATTTGCACTGGACCCTGCATACGCCATATCAAAATGGTTCCGTATAGACCACAGGCAAACATCGCAGAAAGAGTTAATAAAAATAATTCGAATTTATGTTAGCACACATCACAAGCGCTGGGATGGCTACATAAATGAGTTAGCTTATGCTTTAAGAACAGCAAATCATGATACTACTGGAAAAACTCCAGCAGAATTATTTTTAGGACGGAAGTTAATTACGCCACTAGATAAATTATTCTTTGTGCAACAAAGAGAGGAAGAATTCAGACAAAACGATATACAAATACTCATTGATCAGGCGGTTAAAAGTTCGGATACGGCAAGAAATAGACAGAAGCTGTACTATGATCGAAAACGCCGTGAAGCAGATTTTAAAGTTGAGGATAAAGTGTTAAAGCGGAAATTTTCTTTATCAAGTGCCCCAGACAATTTTACTGCAAAGTTGGCTCCAAAATTTGAAGGCCCCTATGTAATTCAGGAACTCAAGGGAGTCATATTGTACCTTAAGAACGAGAGAGGGGAAATCTGTAAAGCAAGTCCCGACCAGGTGAAAAAATATTATAATCAAAATGATTTTGAAATCCTTAAAAGTTTCTTGCAGGACTCAAGCGCAAAAGAAGTGGAAGGCCCAGAAGTAACACCACCTGCTCCACCACCCAAGAAGCAGAGAACAGAAGAGGAACTTAGCCCTTCTACAAGTCATTATAGGGTCCTGAAAAGAAGAAAGGAAAATGGCCAGACTGCAGCATTCAAGAAGTACAAGAAATCAACGCCGCCGCGTAAAGAATCTTTGGTAAATAGGAACAGATCAGTTACAACGTCTTGCAGTAGAAATTCTGCGTCGAGGAAATCACTTCCAGGGCCAGATAGTCAGGAGCAAACAAGGCCGCCGTTCATGAGCACAAAAAGACAGAAGGAGGAACGAAAAGACTGGCAACAGCAGAAGAAATTCAAGCGGAAATCCAGACCGGAGGCCGCCAAGACCAGTCGTCCAGGGGCCAAACGGAAAAGACAGGAACCCGAAGACTACTACTCCAAGAGGCCGGCGTACAGAGGGAGAAAAAGAAAAGTCACCACGGACGAAACTCGAAGAACCCAAAGGCGAAGATTGACTTCTATGAATTCCATAACTTGGGACCAATTCTGCCAGAAGAGGATGTCGGAGTTCCAAGCATCGAAAACTCAAAGATAAGTTAAAATCTTCTATAAATTTTTTCTTTTGTTCCGAAATGTTATGCGTAAATACGAAGTTTCTATGTTTTGACGGAAGTCAATTTGTCTCGGTTGAGACTTAGTTTTGTTTTACTTTATTTAGCTAAGGCAAAAGTATTATTTTCTTTAAGTATAAAATCTAAGAGCAAGCAGTTCCTGTTGGTCGAAAGACTAATTCTGTTATGTTAAAGCCAAAATTTGGCCGAAAGTAAAATAACTTCGTATTCTTGAATTAATGAAAAATTTAGTTTCAGTGCCGCCAGCTTGGCGAAGAATGCGTGAAGTAAAACTTTTTTTTATCTTATTCATTTTATGGTAAATTGTAAAAATCATATGTATCAGAATCTTGTAAATATACGTAAATACTTGAAAGTTATGTAAAAGTAGAATTTAGTCTAGAAGCATAAAATGTTAGATGCTAAAAGTAAATACTCGAAAGAAATGAATTCAAATTTAAGTATTAAACTGTAGATAAAATCATGCTTTGGAGCGAAAGCCTGCATGTCTAAAGATGAATGAGGGGGAATTAGAATGAATGTGTTTTGTAGGGTTCTCCACCTACACTTGAATTTTAAGAATGTTAAAAATAGCTCATCGAGTTTCAGTATGTCGATTAAGGTGTGTAATCTATTTGGTCGTTTAAATTCTAACAAATCATTGTGGTTAGGGGAAGTGTTGTAATACTAAAATACGAATATTCCCGTTTGACAACACACATGGTGGAGAACCAGGGTAAAGTTAAATTCATGTTTGAATACTTGAATGAATTTGAATTAAGCAGTAATTAAGGAAAATAAAACGATCAAAAACAAAAACTTTATTCAGTGTCAAGAAAGTGTAAATTATAATGTATTTAGAAGATACTGATACTTATTCCTTCCAGATGCTGGAAGGAAGAGAATAGATTGATTGCTGAAGTCCCGGAAAGGTTGCTGTAAGAAGAGATGGTAAAATTATTATCTACAGAAATTTATTCTAGGTTTTGAGAAAACAGTTTGTTTTATGTAAACAAAGCTCTTGAATTTTAGTTCAGAATATGGAAACTTTTCAACAGGTCGTTTGTAGGACCTGCTTCCAAGTTTACCAAATTCTGGCAGCGGCAAATGTAGGGTTTATATTTATTTTAACTAACATTTATTTTAAGTTTAAGCTATCTTTCCTGTCAAGCCTTTACTTTCCCCTAGAATTGCCAATGCCAGAGTATGTAAATTTTATTAGAACGAGCAAAGTATTCAAATTTTCAGCGAAAGTAATTTTAAATTAAATAGAAGGGAAACGAGTTTGTAGGTGTGCTTTCTTGATTCACGAGCGTGAAGGTTGCTAGGTAGAAATTTAAGAACCGCGCGTTTCGGCCTGTGTGCTTGCTTCAGCAGTTAGTTGAATCTTTCAATTTTTTATTCAGAAAGTTTGCTGAAATCTCAGCTGTATCTTAGAACGCGGTTAAGTTAGTCACGTTTAGAGAACCTCGTAGGTAGTGATTTGTTATTATTCATTTTTAGTTGTACTTTCTTATATTTATTTACTTTTATTTTCTTATATTATTTCTTATATTTATCTTATATTTATTTACTTTTATATACTTTTATTTAACCGCCGGGTCGGCGTAGTTTGTGAGCGTCAAGTGAACGCATCTGTAACTTCCAAAGTGGAATAAAAAGGGAGTTAAACCCTTCTTAAGAGTTTGTGTACTTTCCAGTTCATAGCAGTCACTACTATTGTTGCGGGCAAGTTGGGGCCACGCAACACCACAACCAATATCTTTTAACTTTCATAAATAGATTCATTAGGTGACCAGAAGCTTTTCCATTGACTAACCAAACTGTTGAAACAGTAACTGAGACCTTTTTTACTCTGGTTGGGTTGCTAGAGTTGGATTATTTAATATCGTAACCACTGTTCGTGGTACAAACTTCGAAAGGCAATTGTTTAGATCACTCACAAAACAAGAATTACCACCGTTCATGGAGTTTTTAATGGTATGGTAGAACGCATGCATTGATAACTAAAAGCAGCCATCGAAATGTGCAACAGTTAGATGGAGTGAAATATTACCATCTGGTTTGCTTGGAATATCATCATGCATTAAAGAAAATATTGAATCATCACCAGTTGAAATAGTATATGGAACTTGCTTGAAATTTTCAGGATAATTTTTCTGCAATTCTTCTTCAAAGGTGGTTCATTCAAAATACTTTGTTGACAATTTTCGTCAACAGATATAACTTCTTCGCCCAGCTCGAGCTTCTCGTCACTGTTCAAGCAATGTGTTCATTCATGATGATTTACTTCCAATTTCGTATGTCTTTCTTAGGCAAGATACTGTGCAAAAACCTTTATAGCAACCATACTTGGACCATTTAAAATGAGAAACAGAAGAGAAATCATCTAACTCCTAATTCCACGAATTCATTCAGATTGCAAATACATTACTAGTCCAAATTATTTCCCTCTTTTCTCGAAACCCTACGATATCATTCTTTTGTACACTTGCATTGGTTACATTACACCCTCTTTGCAAGAATATTTACTCCCTTAAGCATTTGGCCCACACACATATTGTTCCCCTCATCGCTTGTGAATGCAGCATACCATTATTCGAAAGGTTGAGACAAATCTTTGAATAAGTGACCTCAAAAGATAAGTGCATTGCACATGTATCTTTTAGGTTTCTTTGTAAAGAATTGGGTGCTTGTTAGACACCAAATATACCTAAAAATTAAAAAATGTAGCTTGAAATTATAGATGCGTGTTATATGCTGGAAGAGATGGTATATATTTGTAACTTATTTTAATTTTAATTTTTCATTTCTTTTCTTATTCCTTTTGTTATTCATTTGAATGATATAATATATCTCATATGGCCAGCCCCAATTAAATGATGTCAGTTATCAACCAGAATTCAGTTTATGTAGTTTTTGCTGAATGTAGCTGTTAAATGTTAATGAATTGTTTTATACATCTTGTAACATTCACTATTCCCCCCTTTTTTATTTTATTTTATGTTTGTTTAGATTGATTTTCAGGAATATGAAAAACAGAATCATTTTGTTGTGAAACCTGGAGTTGATAGTGAGCTTGATAAAAGTAAAATTTTCTGAAAAGTCATCATTTATATATATATATATATATTTCCTACATGTATTTGAAAATTAAAATATTTCTTTTCAGTATACTTAACATGAGTCATTTTTAAATCATTTTAAAAACAATTTTGTTATATTTTTCTATAGAAATAAATATAAGAAGTTAATATCTAAATTAACTGATCGCAGTTATATCTTCATGTGTGAAATTTGATAGCAGAAGAATTAATTTTAATCAATACCCCTAACATTCATGGGAAGAATGAGAGCATATTTATCAAATTAAAAATTTTAAAGAGTCATCTCTGTCAAAGAAATATCAAATTTTTTATAAAAGGATCAGTCTAAGTAACATATTTATTTCTTTTTCCATTTTTAGTGTATGGTTTAGAAACTTTTAATATATTTGTATAATTTTCAATTGAATACCCAGTTTCAAAAAAGGGACTTTTTGAAACTTTTTTTTTTCATAGGAATAAGCAACTTTTGGAATTTATCATACTGAGATTCTTTGCACTTGTATTCCAAATACATTTAACATTTCAAAATCATCACCAAGGCCATATATTCGTCTTCATGACAATAAAATCAGTGAATCAGATAACCAGTGCAATGGTGAGGACATAGTGTAAGCACAGCAACCCCTGAAGATTCTGTGTTTAAGAGGTACTGTTCAAGAGGTATATTCTCAAAGGACAGCTTCCTTCTGAATTGTAGTCTGCAAAAGCTTTGAAAAAGAGCGTACAGAGGTAGTTTTCAACATTTTGATAAAAACTGAAAAATTGGGCATCTTTTTTTTTTTTTCCTGATACAGAGTAGAACAATGTCCATTCTGTGTATGGCTTTCCTTCGGCCACTAGTTATAGTACAGTTTTCTTCGTTCTAGTTTCTTTTAACATTTAATAATATGGATCTTTACTAATAAAAAGTATCCTTACATTTAAAGTATTTAGCTTGCCAAGAAATTTTTTTCTACCGGTAGCAAAATTCCAAGGGATGGAGAGAGGTTGTCAGATGTCAGTGCGATAGAATTAGACAATATGCGGTGCTATTGCATGCTGGATTTAATTTTATGGACACTTCGCTATTGTTTTAGCATCCATAAAGAGCCTTATTTCAGTACGTAATAGTCTTTTTAATTTTATTTTTTGACATTTTTTAAGAAGTTATTGTTGTCTTTCAGCAAATTTGAAATTCTGTAAAAATTGAGATTGTTGCCATTTTAGTTGTGGGAAATATTTTCTGTAAGCACGAGTGTTTTGGTTTAAAAAATGCAGATTTATGTCTTAAATAGTTAAGACAAAACTATGCTCTTTTTCACTTTATTAAATAATTGCTGAGTCTCTAAATGGCATTAACATATGATGCAATTATATTGTAGCTAATTATTTTTCTTTCAGGTGTTGCTGTTTTAAAACAGCTGAATTTTTTATAATTTTTATGATTTTTTATAATTTTGATTTTTTAATATTTAAAAAAAATAATGGTAATTTTTTCTTTGTGGCATTAGTCTGTAGTCTGAGATTTTCATATTTCAGTTTTTTTAACTATTTTATTTTCTTTCCTTATATCCCTTTGTTAATTTGTTTTCCCTTGCTAAATTATAAATGCGTGCATGATTTTATTTTCATTTACAATGTGCATTTTGTCTTTAAAGGTATTCTTAGTCTGATGCTATTTCTTAGTTTGTATATGCGGCTAAAATTACACAAGCGGGGGAAGTTGACGCCAAACTATTTTGGACTTCAAGATTTGACGATTTTTTTTTTTTTTTTTTTGGCAATAAAAGCACAGGAATGTGATTTTTAAACATAAACAGAATAGAAACTTTTAAGTTTTGCAGTAGTGAAACGCCGTTATTTGATGTAAACAGAATAGTAAAAGGAGATGATAAAATACTAGATGAGTAAACAAAGCCCAACAGCTTTGCGAGTAAAAACATAGTCCTATCTATGTAATTCATCGTAAAATAGTAGAATGAATAATTCTTGTAAATAATTATTGAGTAAATAAATGTATACACTTATCCAGATCAGAGCACTGCGAAGTGAGTTTTAAACGTAAACAGAATAGAAAATGTTTCTTAACAGTGGTGATCAGCTATTATTATGTTCAAACAGAACAGTAAATGCAATTGATTAAATGATAAAAAAAAGATGCATCAGCTTTCTAAGTAAAATCAAAGTCTTGTCTTTACTACTAAATCTAAATAAGTGACATCTATAAATGGGTGGGACTAAGCTTGTGACGTCACAATGTATTCTCTACCAGATATAGAAATAAGTACAATAGCTAAGTAATTAAAAATAAAAAAGAAACTCACCATACTTTTAAAAAACTCTTGAAACTTACTAATACATTCACAAAAAGCTTTACTTCCAAATTAACTCAAAAATCCCCAATCAAAATCATCACATTCTTTAAAGGTACCGCAATTATACGAAACAACTTCTTTCGGCATAAGATGTTCTATTCCTTGAGATTCCACAGTTGGAGAGCTAATCATTTTCAATTTCAGTGGTACTTTTCCAGATCCTGGATAAACTAATTTAACATCCTCCAAAAATTTAAATATTTTTTCTGCTTCTGAATTTAAATTACTCATCCGAACCCGCCAATAAAAGAATACAGCCATGAAACGATGTAAGGAATTCCGAGGAATTATACTTTTAAACATTTTTTCAGTAATCTCGTTTCATTCTCTAAATCGTTAATAGTATTCAATTTATCATCAGCAGAAACGAATTCCCCCTTTATGAATTGTAGTTTTATGAATAGGCATTATAAAAAGATTCTCCACTCCCGCATACTTCTTCTCCGAATCTGTACACACAACATTTGTCTCCTCGTGGCAATAATGTTTCACATACGGCCACAGATTCCTTTTACTCTTACCTTCTACTTCGAAAAACAAGCCTTCATTATCTTCCTTACAATAGATACCAAACACAATAATTTTCATTCCTCCTTTATGTCGGCGGCGCTCATACTTCCTACGGCTAAGAAAAGTCTTATCCAAAAGAATTGTTTTTCCTTTACCACCCAGTTTGTGGCTATCGTGAGACGCAATAAATTCACAAATTCTCTGCAAAAGTTGAAGTAATCGGTAACAGTTTCCGATGATATACTACTTTCATTCTTCTGTTTTCTCCATGCATTAATATTATTCAAAAGGAAAAGTACAGGCAATTTCATAACGAAACCAAAAATAATGGCTACAATATCCCTAAAAGGTATTCGTGTTCCATAAAAGAAGGTGTCCTTCAGTGGATTCACTTACCACTACATCTCAAAGCGCTACTCTTATTCTTACACATCCAACGCCAACCTAGCTTTTTACTTGAATCCTTGTTAGCAACCATCTTCGTAGAACATTTCGGACAGTGCACATCAGTTTCAATTGGCGGAATTAAACCAACTTCTAAAATAAATTTTATAACACTTTCCTCGGACTCCAAAATTTTCAACCAAGTAAATATATTGAAATTCACGGTGCTACTTTGGTAGACGGTTGCACGGATTTTGGCGAATTTTTTTTTTTTTTTTTTTTTTTTTTTTTTTTTTTTTTTTTTATTTTTTTGGCGAGCGATACGATTTATGGTAAACCCATTGCTAGAAAAGTTATTTATGGTAACTGATACTTTTGTTGTCATTTTGCTTACAAAAATAATGCGTTTTTTTATATGCATAAATTCCGTGTTTTAAATATTTTTATGGCTTCTAAATATTAAAAAGCAATTTAATTTTGGCATTTTTTTTGAAATAAAAATTTTATTGTTTATGATATTTATGAAATTTATGTTGTGGATGATGTAATCAATGACGTCACCTTACTTAAGTAATTAGTTTTAATATCTATAAATTTAATCTAATGTTTTAAACATTACTTATGGCTGTTAAATATTAAAATACAATTTAATTTTGCATTTTTTTAAAAAATGATTTTATTATGTATGATTATTTAAAGAATTTTTATTCTAGACGTAATATAATCAGCTCCCTGATTGGTTACAGAATATTTGTGCATTAACGAGCTGTAATCAGCTCCCTGATTGGTTACTGAATATTTGTGCATTACCGCGCCAATTTAAAATTTTATTATTCATTTCTTCGAATTCCTTAGATTTCATAGGAAACGGATATGTCTCTTTCAAAGATTAAAGTTGTTATTGGAAAGTACCAAGAATTATTCGTATCGGAATCAAAAAATTGTCCTTTGAGACCTTATTTTGGCCAACCTGGTTTTCCTAATCAAAGATTTACTTATAAATTGTTACAAGGGTCAGAGAAAATTTATTTTAAATTTTCGGAGGAAACCTCGCTAATTGCTTCTTCAATGAAGTGCGAGAAATGTGGATCACAGATGAAGATCGTTAAAAGAGCCGATTCTGAAGATGACCGTATATGATATTGTGGTTCACGGTGGAAGAAATAACCGCTGTAACGGTAAAAAAAGTATTAGACATGCCTGCTTTTTTTACCGGCAGTAAACTTCTAATTGCTGTCATTTTAGCTTAGCGAAGCGTTCTTATTTACTTATTTAAAGTATTTGAATTTAAGTAATATTTTAATACAAATACGTGTATGGAAAAATTCGCAAAATACGTGTTGGAAATGAATACAGTTATATCGTTTTATATTTACTTTTTTGGAATGGCAACAGAAATTATATTGTTTACTCAGAATATTCTATCTGTCTGTTGAGTTTAAAAATGGTAAAAAAGATGTGTCTGTTTTAACTACAGTGTCTCACAAAAGTGAAGGGACACTTGTGCTTTACAAAAGGAAACTGTAGTAAAATAAATTAAGAAAACATGTAAAAATTTTTTGTGGGTGTGTTTCATACTTAAATTTAGTAACAATTATTACATAAACACATTTTCTCAAAATATTAAAAATTTAATAAAATAAATTGTTTAGAACGGAGCAAAAAATGGCTCACATAAGTGATGAGACACTTACTTTTCCATGAAATATTTATCTACAAATTTTACTTTTTAA